AGGACAAGGAGGAAGTATGGAACCTTATTTTGTGGGTCATGGAGTCATGGCTGGAGTCAAGTGCTGGAGTCCGGTGGAAGTGCTTTGAGAGTCGTTGGTGCCAGTGTCTTTCTTCCAATGTATAGATCTGTGAAGTCAAGTTGGGTTCAGTTCCGAAGTGTTCATCAAGCAAAGTACCACAAAAAAGAACGCGAAGTCGACCTCCTCCCGAAGGATGTTCAGTTTCTACTTGGCCGATCCAGTGTGGAACGCTTCATGTGTGGAACGCTTCAGACTCGTTTTGGGGGCCAAGTGGGTCGCGACACACCGGATAAAACCGGCCCTGGTGGACCTATAACGATGTGTTCGACCTACTAGGGAAGGTGGGTGGGTTTTGACCCACAGCCGATATATAGGATGAGGGAGGGAGGATGATCGGATCATCGGATCCCCACTCCCCGGTGCAAGACTTCCCCTTTCAGGTGGTACATGCGAGAACATCCTAGTGAAGTAAAGGCCACCCTTTCTTGCAAGAATGGCAACCATGGCAACATGAAAGCCTGACTATATCGTCTGGCAAACATCCTCTCGTTCCAGGAATCTCATCTTCCGCTGAAAAACAAAAAGTTGGTGCTTTGATCGAAGAATAGGGCGATCGATCGCCTGACCTCATCTGGATTTCTCTCGAAAAAAGATGGAGCAGCGTTTGAACAATCTCTTTTGTTGCAAAAGAAATGGCAGGTGCCAGTGTGGATCTCCGGCAGATCCGCCGGCGGATCAGCCAGCAAAACGCTGCTCCACTCCACTCCGCCCCACTCTACACCGCCGCACCTCCATGCAACCAACCCGTCCCTGAACTCGGCCCAAGCGTCAGACCACAAGTCTGGGGCACAGGCGCCCAAGGTGCAGAAATACATGGACTCCTCGGGTTGTGGGTGGCCATTCATCGGATAAACACAGTGTTATTTCCAGCTGCCAGCTGTGGGGGCTGGGCTGGGGCTCGGCATGTGTTGGTGTTATTTCCAGCCAAGTGGCTGGTATAGACGGCTAATGGACGGTATTAGATATTGCAGGGCACGTATCTCCAGCTGTGAAAGATGGGGGGACCATCTGTTGGGCTGGGCTGAATCGAAACGGAGTTTGGGTGTGTTTCCTTGGTGAAGACATTCGGCGCCTGCCCGATTCATCCCGAAAATCAAGACAGGTGCCGGGTGGTCGTATAGAACTGGTTGTCATTTACTTGATGTTTTTCTTGAAGCAATGACTTTGTTGTCAGTAATTAGAGCCAGGTCCACAACATTCCAAGCACACTGCTGACAAACGATGGATATCATCACGCTATTGAATAGCTTGCGGGTGTTGGCGTGTCATGGTGTCGGGCACAAGATGCTTAGCTCCCGTAGCTACAGTTTCACAGAGCAAACCATCCAAGAGACCAAACGAAAACGAATCACAACCGCTTCTCAAATTTGGTTGGTGGGCAGATCATTATTAAGGATTTGGAGAGAAAAGACATGAATGATGTTTTGACTGTGTTTCCCACAAAAACCTTAGAGAACAAGGACGCCCACAGAGCCGGACGCCCTTATCGGACCTCCGAGCCCTCTCCGAAGCAGAAATCCATCCAGGCCACATAGGCGCGGATCTGAATCTCAGGCGAGGGGTTCTCCAAGTAGCCTAGGTGCGTGAGCAGAATCTACGGTACGGCACGGCGGCAGAGAATCTGCAGCCCTCTGCGGGGCAGTTTGGGGGGGGCGCAGAGGTTTCCGTCCGATTCTTTGGAACATGTTCCACCTCAAGATTGGTGCTGTTGGCAGTGCAGTGACCTTTTTGTTTGTTGCTGAGCAGGGATCCTAAGTCTTTGGCTTTGGCTTAAGTCTTTAAAAGTCTTCAAACGTTGTAATGACTGGCTGCCCATGACACGGCTTAATAGACCCACTTAACAATGAACAACACACCAGCAATAACACCCCTCAACCCCAGCACCGGCACCCTCTCTTCCTCACCCTCCAATCACGACTTTCACTGTCCCAAGACCTGGTCATCCAAGACCTCTCTCTTTCCCTCTTTCTCTTCCACTCCTCTTCGCTATTAGGTTGCCTGCCATCGCTTCTAGGTTGGAGGCAATCTTCCTCTTTCTCTTCCACTCCCCACTCTCTTCCAGTCCGTCAAAAAAACGCCTCTTCAGCCAGGCCACTGCAGGCCAAGACCAAGATCTCACGGCTCAGGAACTTCCTTCGTAGCTCCGAAGGCGCCTGCGACCTCGCGATCGACTCGATCATCCGGCACTGTTTCAGCCATGCGCAGCCGTCTCTTGGCTGAGGTGTGAGGATCGGAGTTGGTGCATGGGTGGAGTCAGTGGGCTAGTCAATGGCGTCTGATGTTTTTGAAGAAATTCCATAGGACTGGCTGAAGAAACAGCCAAACTTAAGGGATTGGTGTGAGCCCTTGTCGTCTTGTGAACCGATTCCAGAACGTCTCCCGATTCCGTTGGGTCGGTGGTGTGGATCTGGTACGAATATACCCTTCCACCGAATGGCTCAGCCCCAGGGACTCAATCAGCTTGCGTTAATGAACCATCACCGAGTTTTTTTTCCCATTTGACCCAAAAGCAAAAGCTATGGTTCTTGGGCAACTAGTGAAAAAAATGTTTCTTGGAAAATGTCATAAATGTGTTCAATCATAATTCTAATGAAGAAGAAGGAATAAGATCACACACGCAAAAAAACATCAATGAACTCACCCACTGGTCACAATCATGGCACCACGATCCGTGCGTTCAGTGCCATTCAGCTTTGAAACTGCGCCTGTTCGCGTCCTGCCCTGCTGTGTAAACACTTGGCTTGCCACGTTTGGGAATGCAGGACATTGCAGGACTATATACCTCCTTGCGCATCTGCGAGTCCAAGAACGCTAACTAGCTACCAAGTGGGTTTTTCTTCTTGCAAACTCCAAAAGGAAAGAGCTTTCAGCAACACACATCTCAAAACAAATTGCCTTCCTTCATTTTGAGGCTTTGGATAAAACTTCACCATGGCCTGACAAATGTTTCTTGTTCCAAACATTCCAAACCCAGTGCCCCAACACAAAAGAAAGAGCTTTCAGCATGTGTTCTATTCCAAACCCATCCAAACCCATGTACCAGTATGTGTTGTGTCTAATTCCCAAGGCCAGGTGGCATGCCATGGAAGATCTCGATGAGCGCTCGCCGCGCCACCAGAGCATCGTCCTCCGCCGACATGCGGCTCACGAACCTGAGAGCTTCGGTGTCAACAGTTTGGCGGCGTTGTTCTTCGGCGATTTTCTAGGATTGAGTGGAGAGAAACCTTATATAAACGGATGATGCCGGAAAGAAAGGCTACTCTTGGAAGAAAGCAAGAAAAGGAAGAAGAACAGGACCTTGCAACGCAAATATGAATTCATGAAACAACCACAAGCAAGTTACAGCTAGCTCAGTGAACAATGCTTGGAAGTTTATCGACAAAAAAAGCTGGAAGGACATTCGGACATTCTGAAAGAAATTGATATAAATGTTATAAATTAGAACGTTTGAAATTTAAATATATCGGGTGAACCACTGAACAGCACAAAAGCAATCTCTTCCACAAACTAAAAAGACACCAATTAAGAGCTCAAACAAGAACCAGCTAGGTGCGCACACACACAAAAGCAAAAGCCACGTGCTGGCTGTCTGTTCTCGATGTGTTCTGAAAAAAATGTTTGTTTTGCGAGAGAGGAAGCAAAAATGGTCGACATAACCTCCAACGATACAGACCTGCCAAGAAGTGGTGAAGGTCAGGTCTTTTGGATGTTGCCTTTTGTAGGGTAGTGTTAATTCAATCCACATCCTCCCAATGCCATTCCTACTTTGTGTTCCCCGTACTACAGCATATTTGCGGGTGCGATTAAACAAACGCATAGTTGACCTCTCATCGTCCCCGTTCTCACTTTGCAGCGGACCCTACAGAAAGGAAACAATCTGGTTTGAACCAGACTACCCTGACTGACACCAAAAGTTCATCTACCAACAGTGAAACATGTTGTGTACTGAAGGACAAAGGCCATCAAGAACTACTTCTTCTTCCAATCCACTTAAATCGCAAGCTTATCCATAAGAATAGTAATTACTCATGTTGGATCATCAGTAGAATACGTCTAGTCTTCCACCTTACACCAGTCCACCTTACACTTGCCTTAAAGCGCTACTTTCAGTACTGCGGGGCGGATCCATGTCTTGAGCACCGTTCTGCACCATTCCGGCCACCACGGTGCCGCCGAGCCGCATGAGCATGCCACGATCTGGCTTGACCTCCTCACGTGACATGCTGGTGTAGTAGAGGTTGGCACAGCCTGAAGTGTTCGATGCAAGATTTGCAGAGCTGCTCAGTCTCGAGCTTTAACAGGTTATCGATTCATAGAAATCTTGTTTAAAGGACAATATTGTTTTTAGAAATGTATTCATAGTCATAAAACTTTATGGAAAAACGTTAAAAGAAAGAAACGAAGTCATAGAAATACGATTCCAAGGTTGGGATTCTTCAAGCGTTATCATCCGTCAATCCTGAAGGATCCTGAAGGTCTATCAGTCTATCGTTGAAAAGGAAGCGATCCCATCACTGAGTTGCCGGGTTGGGAACGAGGGGCATCAATATGAATCAACACCATGAACGGTCCATAAAGGGCATTCAGAACATCTTTTGTGCCACAACAGGAAGAGGCCAAAGAACACTTTAGGATACTGTTGCTGAACGTTTCTGGCCTGAATCTGCGGGAATCATTTGGCTTCACTCTCCTTCCAAGTTCAGCCCATATTTGTTTGGGAAGACAGGGTAAAAAAGCGCTGGTCTGCAAGCAAACCTCTATTTCACGTGAGGGTTGCCGGACTAAAACCTCCTAAAACACCTCATCTCTCACAAAAAAAGCGGGAGCAATATCTTTCCTGCCATTAACGCCATTCTCTGCGAAGTCCAAGAACCTACTGGACAAAACCCGCCCCCACCCCGACACAGTTCCCTAAACTCCTATAGACCACCCCTCCGAACGCCCGTTCCGCCCTCCCTCCGCCCTCCCTCCGCCCGTTCCTCGTCCGAGCCACACATGATGTACTTGTGCAGCGAGGAGTCGGTCTTTTGACAATTCTGGAAGTACTCCGCCATCGCGTGGAAGATCCGCCCTCGCCGGGCCCGAAGAAGGCCGAAGAAGGCCGAAGGGGGCCGAAGGGGCCCGAAGGGGCCCGAAGGGCCGCGCAGCGTGAGGCTCGGTGCCGGGCGTTTTGAGGGCTCTGTGTGGGCTTCGTTCCGAAAGCAGCTCGGTCTGCCGTGACATGGTGGAACTGGTGGTACTGTGGGACCAAAACGGGCGGGTGGTGAGGCAGTGAAGCAAGATGCATAGGGTTAGGTTGGAAGGCTCATGACTCATGCTGATCATATAGGAGCTCTATTCTCAAGTAGTATGGCGGGATATGGAGACTGGTGGTGTGCCTGTGACTGGGATTCAGTACCAATAGTCCTCACTTGTCCTCACAACAAACTGCCAAAAACTGTCATGACTCCAAATCTAACTCGATCTATCTTTAGCTTAGCAACCACATCTGTGCGCAGCCGTGAAGCCAAGGCTGGCTAGTTGGGGTACAAACATGATAAATACACAATAAATACAAACATATCACACAAATTCTCACAACGCAGAACTCCTTCCGAAACATGTGGACAGCCCTGGCTCTGGGGTTCTGTCAACTGGCACCCTTGATGAACTCCTGCAAACAAAGAGTACTGAAGTTTCCCAGACACACGTTACTCACCAAAATTATGATCAGATCCAGAAATCAAGGCGCCAAAGAGAGTCAACAAACACGGTTCTCAGTCTGCACTTGGTTTTTTGCCCATGTCATCACGTGTCATCCTGTAGCTGGCAGCTAGACAAAAGATCAGCCAAAGTTATCCATTGCAAATCCAGATCTTGGTGACACCACTTATCCACATGGAAAAACCAAGTGCAAAAACCACACGCAGCTCCAACCCAGCTATGCTCCAAAAGTTGCATTCAATAAGACAACAACCCAGCTATGCTCCAGCTATGCCCCCGCAAAATCAATGAGACGTTCCCCAACACTCAAGAACTCCCCATTTTGGAGCTGCACAAATCCATCTTGGACAGAATTGCTGTCGACTGACCCACCCCAGGTGGGGCTGTAGAACCCCAACAATCAAGGCTCCCACAGTGTTCTGTTCCAGGGTGGCGTTCTGGTCATGTGAATGACATGTTTCATGTTAGTTCATGTTAGTTCTTGTTAGTTCAATTCTAGACCCAAAAACCTGGTGGATTTCTCTTCTCCAACTGTCCCCCCAGGAGACCGCCTGAGACTGCCTTCTCTTGGCACAAGCACGTCAAGGTCGAGAAGATCAAGCGTCGCAAACTGGGCGACGTCGCGTCCGCCGGCATCACCTGCCGCTGAAGAGAGCTAGATGGGAGGTGTGTCCCAACAGTGGCTGTTGTTGTTGGGGGACGGAACTGGAGATGTTCTCAAGGGGTTCCCCAACAGTTACCAGCTACTATCTTGTTTTCCACTGAAAAATGTCCCAATGGTGAAAAATATGGCGCATTATAGGGTCCGATGGAAATATGAGTCAGAGGGTCCTTCTTCATCCCCAAGTAAGGGTTGAAAATAAAAATATCCGAAACCATCACCTAGACCATGGTTATAGGCAACTTTGATATTGAAAGTTGAAGTTTCATCATATTCCTGGCATTGTGTTCAGTGGTTTTTGTGGGGGCAAACACCGTTTCCTGTCACCTCGCATAGTCCTCGCGTCTAGTCCTAAGGACCAATCCTGGTGCACCGATTCTGGTGTACTCAGTGACAGGTTCGGTCGGTTCGATGGGTCACCACCGGACCTGGATGTGTACCCAAGTAAACCCAAACACCGACACACGCAGGTCGAACACAATGGTTTTTTCATGGCTCTAGCCGGGAAAAACTTCACAGATACTGTTAGCCTACTCAGAAATCAACCAACAAACCCACAGGTAAAACTGTTCGCTTGTTGAACCCGTCGACGTGGCCTCTTCCAAGAACCCATGGCCCATCATGGCCCTATCAGGTCAAGGGTAAATGCTTGGGCTTTGTTAGCATGTTCAGAAATCCAGCATTAACAAAGCCACTGGTGAAGCAGAATGAAAGCAGCATGAAAGCAAAAACAAGCAGAATGAAAGCGAAAGCAAAGCCTCCTTCCCTTCTCAATCTGCACTTAACCCCGTCAGGCTATGATGAAAAGGTTGCCGCCATTACTCACTTCGTTCGCAGGTACAACTTCAGCCTAGCCTATCGGCTGGCTTTCGTATTTGGGTTGCGTTTTTCCCCACCTGCCAGGTGAGGGTTGTTAGATTTTATCACAGTTGTTCCTCCTCCTCCTCCTCCTCCTCCGCGTCCTCCTCCTCCTTCCTTCCTCCTTCCTCCTTGCTTCCTTCCTCGCCAATCTTCATCGCCAATCTGCTTCGCCGATCTTGTCTGGCCAGCTCCGGATCGCAGTGTGCACCCCTGGACCTCAACCGCAAGGATCCCCTCGCAGT